AAAAGAGTGCATCGATGCACTACCAATGCATCGATGCACATTCATACAATTTCTAGGTTTTAACCTTGATGCATCGATGCACCATGAATGTGCATCGGTGCACTCTGCCCAAAATTCTCTTTTTGAACCCGAAAGTTCATTCATTTGGATTAAATCCTTCATGTTTAATCCCCTTTTCATTCTTAACTCTAGTACACGTCCTTAAACCAATTTATACTCATTTATTTCATCTTAAACCTTCAAATCCTATCCTTCATATGTAATTCAAGAATTACATAAATCAACATGTTTGAATTCCGTTTTTAACACTTCGTATATCTTAACTAGATTGATGACAAGTTAAATATAACTTTCAATTCTAGTTATGAACTCTATTCCAAGATTTCATTTAAGAACTTCAAATCTTAAATCTATCCTAATTCAATCATCCTTGATGTTAAGATAACTTAAGCTTTCCTTAAGCTTAGTTATCATCTAATAATCAAAACCCAATATTAAATTTAACAAGAAACTCAATAATCAGAAATCTTACCTTTACTTTGGTTCACACGTACAAGGAAGAAAGAAGAAGAAGATAATTCTGGAAGACTTTGGTGTTCTCTTCTTTTCATCCCACTTGTACTCATATATATTCTTATCCCTTCTTTAATTAATTTTCCTTGCAAATGACTCTTTTGCCCTTCCATTCATTCTTCCTTTCAATTCAATCCTATACAATCATTTACATATAAATCTTTATACTATTCATTCATTCTATTTTAATCACCAAAATCTGAAACTTTCCAATTTAGTCACTAACCCGGTATTGAGGATGTTACAGAAATTGTGATAAATTTTGGGATAAACAAAATTGAACGTAAAGGATCAAGTTAAAGCTTAGTGAGGCTTATATTTTGACTTGTATATAATGTCAAAATGAGTACAATGCATGCATGACATTATACATAGATATTTTACATATCATCGAATATGACTTGCGATAAGTCTACCTTATTTATGTTGGCATGATATTTATGTCATTTATTATATATATATATAACATATTCTAAATGCGTCAAAGGTTGAGTATAAATGCATTGATTACTGGTTATTATATATGATGTTTATCACGCATATATATATATAACGTTATTTCGGTTATGAACTGCCCAATGTTAAATTATATTATACTTTGCCATGGATGGATTAAATAAATATAGACTATAGCTCAAGTAAGTAATTAAAGGGAAGGTATAGTTGGCATGCCATATAGTCCAGCAACTGCAGGTTTTATATTAGCACTAGTGTGTAAGGACATTTAGTGCAACACTATAGTGTGTAAGGACACTAAGTGCATATAGTGGGCACAACCTTATGTGTATTGGTACTATAGTGTATAAGTACACTAGTGCAACTCTGTAGTGTGTGAGGACACTCAGGGCATCTTTAACTCGAATACCCAGGGTCTTCATAGGTTTATATTTTGGGCTATGGTTTATTGGTTAATAAATTATATATATGAATAAGTTTATGACCTTATGGAATACATGGCAAGTATATTGGTAAGAAATTGTATATCCAGTTTATATCATATTAATATATGGTAACATGGTTGAAATGCAGGTAAAGTGATCATAATGCATTGAATATTATTTTTGTTTACATTTATGTTGCACTGCCTTGAATGCTTCTATGATTGCCTCACTAAGTGTATACTTAGCGTGTGATGATTTTTCACACGTATGTAAAAGAAAGCAAGAGGAGTAAGGAGCTGAGCTTGGCATCAATCACCAAGGAATATTTCAGGCAACATTGATGACATCCTATGGTGTTCTAATTTTCTAGCTGGCATGTATACGAATAAGAAATGTTTGCTAACTATTAATATAGTTAGTATCAAATATAATTTAGTATATACAAATATTATGATATTAAACTATGTTTTTAAATATTACTTTAAATGGGATTTTAAACTAAATTGTTTTATTTATTATATGAATCAAATCAGAATTGTCTATTACATCCTCAAAACGAATTTGAAATAGAAATTGAAATGTGATCTTTAACTCGTAATAGTATACGTATACGGGTTAAGGATGTTACAATGTCATTTCTCAATTATTAGATATTGTTGTGAAGAATGGTCTCTTTAAATTTCATCCCAAGTGTAAGAAGATCTCATCAACCTATTATATTTAGCTGATGACTTATTTATTTTTTGCATGGATCAATGGATTCTGTGTTTAGTGTGAAGAGTGTTCTTCAAGTGTTTTATGGGATGTCAGGCTTGCAACTAATGCTGCAAAAACTGATTTATTTTCTTGTGGGATGGATGCGAGGACTTTGAGCAGTATTTAGGCTATTACTGGATTTAGAGTAGGTGTGCTGCTAGTAAGGTATCTTGGTGTTCCATTGGTGACCAAAAAACTTTCTAACAAAGATTGTCTGTCTTTGATTGAGAAGATAAAGGGTAAGCTTATTGTGTGGCTTCACCGAAAGCTTAGCTATGGTGGGAGGTTGCATCTCATTAAAGCTATGTTGTGCAGTATTTTGAATTTCTAGTACAGACAATTGCCTCTTCCCAAGTCTGATGTCAAGAGGATTGAACAACTTTGTATGAGGTTCTTTTGGAAAGGGGATGACTCTCTTGCTAAAGGTCCTCGAGTTAGATGAAATCAGATCTGTAAGCCTAAATCTGAGGGCGGTTTGGGTATTAAGGATTTATCATGCTGGAATAAGTTTGTTGTTTGTTCCCCATTAAGAGTATTCTTGCCAATGAAGGCTCCTTGTGGGTAACTTGGTTGAAGAAGTATGTGCTGAAGGTGCAGGACTTTATGTCTGTTGGTGGAAGGCCTTATCATAGTTGGTTCTTTAGAAAATTGTTGAAGTTGAGGGGGATTGTTGGTGATTTGTTTGGAGAGTATATTGATGGGGCACCTGGTTACTTATAGATGGATTTGGGAAGAAGTTAGGGTTAAGGTTGATAAGGTTAGATGGCAGCATGTCATTTGGTTTCTTTTCATATTCCTAAATTTTCTCTTGTTTCATGAATGATCATTATTAATAGGTTGCCTACTAAAGACAGCTTGCTAGAATGGATTTGATTATTGATTGTGATTGCAGTTTTGTGTGAGGTTGGTGAGGAAAGTAGAAGCCATATCTTTTGTGATTGCCCTTATGCTTGTATTGTTTGGGGTCATTATGGTTTGCGTTGAGGGAGACAGAGTTGGGATGAGCTTTTGGATTGGGTGATTGTAGGTTGAAAGGTAAATATTTGATTGTAGGTATTTTGAAGCTGGTTTGGACTGGCTACATTTATTATTTGGGAAGGGCATAATCACAAGCTATTTAGGGGTGTCAAGCGCCCTCTAAGGCCTTGTGTGAGGCAATCCGAGAGACTATTAGCTATAAGCTTCATGGTTGTTGTTTTAATAGGGACGATAAGATCTGTATATTTGTAATGACTGAGGGATTCTCTAATGCTTGACTTGTTGATGGATGTTTGTGTTAGGTGTGGTTTTTTCCTTTTTCTTTGGTCTGGTGTTGTTGCTTTTGTTTGAGTTAGGTTATTGTAGGCTCTTGGTGTGGGGTGGTGTTTTATGTTTTTTGTTTAATTAGTTTATTTGATGTAGCTTTGTTGCATCTTTTTGGATTTGGAATGAAATTTACTTATCAAAAAAACAAAATAAGTTTTGAAACTATTTTCAATGTGATTTTTAACTCGCTTACAATATCTTCTATGTCTCGATATTGGCCTTAAGTGAAAGATAAAGTTTAATATTACGCCTCTAATCTTATAAATTACGAAAATTTTGAGATTAAATGCCTGAAAATATCCCTCGAACATGCATATAAACACTAGCGATTTGGGATGAAAAACTACATACATCGTGTTTTGTATAACACAAGGTATATTAAATATCACACGCGATAAATTTATCGAGATGTTTTAATATCTTGAAGACCTCGCATTTTGTGTAATACAATGTTTAAAATATTAAATTATATTATTTAAAAAGTATTTCCATTTGGAGAAAACTCACACTACATATAACATGAGGCTTTTACTCTTTTTTAAGACGGGGGATAATCCTATATTTGTGATTTAAAATTATTATTCTAATAAATCTAATTTGGGTACTGATAAAAAATAATTTTTGTAGTTTTTAAAGTAATATCGAGGGGTTGAATACTATTTGAAAGGAGAGATGGGAAATGTGTGGTGAAATGGTTGCCCAATTAATGTTACACTGTTATTCATGGGTGGCTAATGGCTATACCTATATGGCTACATCTATTTAGCCGAGTGATGTGATAGCAAAAGAATCGCACAAAGATTTGATAAACAGTTGGAATTGACAACCTCTCGTTGGGGTTTAGGGCATCAGGGAACAACACAAACAGTGATCAAGCAGAAGTTACAGGTGAAAATATTAACAAAAAGGTTGGGATTTAATGCTTAGAGAAATGTTGATAAAGTCGAATAAGACACACACCACATGGTATTGTAAACATAGCACTAATGCAAAAGCAGGCATTACAACCGACCTCTAAAAAAATACGCGGGAGTAGGGTGCGTGAAAAACCCGTACGCAAAATAAAGTAGTAGGGGGCACCATGTGGGTTGAGCACATGACTCGAGACATGGGTCTATACCAGCAGCTGGTTCTTGCTGGCAATGCATTGATCGCAACGAATGCCCTTTTCCTTCTTTTTAACCATTACATATTTTAGACGAGTTCCAAGGGAGACTCTGATGTATGTGGAGAGTTAGTAAAAAAATACATACAGAAAACATCTAATCTCACAAAAGAGACGAGATAACCTAATGTTCGACACGTGTAAAAGCACCGATACGCTTGGTCCACTTTCATTTCTTTTTAGTTCATTAATTATAATTTGAAGCAGTCTGGTTATATCTTGAAAACCATAACAGCCGATCTTGGGAAAGCGAAGATCCTTCTAATTATAATTAATTATAATATACAAATCTGACTTCCAAACACGACGTTCTAATGTTGTTTAAATATAACTTTCATTAAAAATATGAGCCTTTACACTTCCATTCCATTAACATTTTCCAGCAAAATCCACAACTCTGATCGACTCAAATACCAGGAATTACAAACCCATAACTTACTGTTCTTCCCTAGTAGCCTTCAACCAAACGAACAAAAGCTTTGGCTGTGCTATCCATTGCAGAAACTACAAATCCTTTATTTTTGGACCTAAACCCTAACCAAAAACCATCTTTATTTCCATCCTGCTCTTAAAACCTATACACCACTGTAGTACTACTTTTCTATAGCAAACTATCAAATTTGTTCCCCTTTATCCTTTTTCTAACCTTAAAATTTCTACCCAACCGACAGATCAATTAGTAAACAACCTGCATGCAATGAGTCATCAGTAAGTCCACTCCTGGGTAACCGGATTTCTCGACTGATTTCTTGTTGTGGCCTGATTTCTCAGCCTTTGATTTCCGAAACGATTCCCACCATTCCGAAGCCAAGGATGGTGAGGTTGGGTTTGGGCTCCGACCTCATTGAGATTCAAATTCAATGCCTGAGCCACTCGAGCAGGAACCAAAACAGCAGGGAAAGCTTCCACAACAGAAAAGATCGAATCAATGAAAATTAGATAAAATTTATTCAAACGTTTCTTAAGCTGATGGTTACAAACCTGGCTTCTTGCGGGGTTCAGACGAGTTTCCAACACGCCGAGGTAGGAAAACACCCGTTCCAGCACACTGATTTTTTCCCATTTGGATGGCCAAGAAAACAGCCCATACCCGACCCGTTTGGTGGCTGTTGTTGCGGTTGCAGAGGTGGCCATGCAGAGGGGACAAACCCAAAGTTCCATTACCATAGTCTACTCTGTTTTGACCACATGGTTCTGCTGCTTCTTCTTCAACCCAGGCCAACGCGTTTTGCTGTTTCATTAGCTGCTGTTCTTTCAGCTGTTGGAACTGCAACCATAAATCAATACCCAGCAGAGAGAAATAATCAGAGTGCTCTGTTTTAAGGTTCTTACATGAGTGGTCCGCAGCTTATGTGAGAAAGCGACTGTTGAGGGTAAAAGCCAGAGGCATTAAGGTTCAAATAGTGTTTTCTAGCAGTGGACCAAAAAGGACTCTGTTGTTGAATCCTCCATAAGTTTCTTCGTTCATTCGCAACCTTTCTACTTCCCCGGCCGCTGCATAAGCAGGTCCCAAGTTGCCGGAGGAGAAGAAACCCGAGATTGAGTTTGGGCTTCCACGTATAGACCCTTCCTTGCAGCCACAACCACTCGGTAACGCACATAGGGTCGATTGCGGTGAACTAGAAAGAAAAAATCCCTAAAAACCAAAGAAAAAATATAGAAACCATTGTAAGGAACACTCCTTAATATAATAAAATCACTCAAACATGATTCATGCTAGGCAATTTAACAAACCTTGGGATTTTCAGAGGCGTTGGTTCGGTGGGAATCGTCCTCGAGAGTGGAGTGAGCTATTTGACGAGATACCCAGAAAGGTAGTCTTCTCACTCTCCGTTTCCGTAGAACCTAGAACGAACTCCCCAGGAGAACTTGGATCCAAAGAAAACCCGAAAGACCCAAACCCGCCAGGGAACTCGTAGGGAAACAAAGATTCACCTTCCTTAGGATTCTTGGTGTTATTCGTAGCCTTATCTCCGTCGACGAAAAAGTCATCGTCGGTTAAAAACTGGGGCGGAAGCCAAAACTCACCGTCGTCTAAAACTCGGCCATAACAAAGATAACAAGAAAAGGAACAGAGAAATTTTAGAAAAGAAAGGGAGGGAAGAGCATTTAATAAAAAGCTCCGCACACGGTGAAGATTAATATTAATATAAGCATTGCTGGCTCTGTGATCTCGGCACGGCTATGCAGAGATAGGGCCCCAAAGGAAAAGTAACTCAGTGAGTTGCTAAAACAAGTTGTAACTGTCAACAAATGAGCAGAAAAGAAAGAGCAACGGAGAATTGTATTTGTAGAGTGGAAAAAAAAGGTGGAGGTAAGGATCCCAGACGCATAGAAAAGAGGGTGAGGGACACGGGCATAATAATCTGTATTTACTGAATAATGAATAGGATATTAATAATTATAAAAAATATAGTAAATTGTTTTAGGTTAGAATTAAATTTGTTTAAGGTTAATTATCTTTTCACACGTGTGTTAAAGTACAGGTAAATTTGCTTGACTAGTTCGCATTCCTTTTGTGAATTCTTGAGCCCTAAGAATGTAAATGGACGGAAAGAGGGATGGCATTCACTTTGGAGACTTGGTCTTTAAGTTACCATTCATTTCCCACCTGTTCAATGCCATAATGGGTTTTGCTTAATCGGCGTGTATTCTATTCGTTAATTTTGGATGAATTTAAAGTTGGATACATAATTCATCGAATTACGCTGAATTCAAATTATTGTATCTGGGCCTTAATTAATGTCCTTTCAAGTCTTAGATATTTATGTTTTTATTTAATTTAAGCTTTCTTAATGCAATTTTAGCCTGGAGCACATGACCAGTCTTTTAGGGTTGTAGCTACATTTCATTTTCATGATGTGGAGCTTGTTTTTCACATGATCCTTCTGCCAAAGAATATGGAAGCACACACACTACGCTTAAAACGATGGGAAAAAACGACAAACAAATGTTAACGGATCGTAAAGAACCCAACACAACCCCTGTTCTATGTTCTAATGGGAAAGGTAGAGGGAATAAGGGGAAAGCTAAAGGTTATATATTTTAATTTTAATTTTAATTTGTATCGAAATGGAATTTTTATTGATATTTGAAACTTTTTTAAAATTCATACAAAATTTACATTTAAAATTATTTAACTTATTTGTATTATAGTCACGCTTAATGCAAAAAAAAATAAGTGTGCAAACTATATTTAAAATTAACTTTTGGTAGCTTAAAATATTTCGTTAAAAATAGGTGTCGAATATTTCTCTATACACTTTAAGTGTCTATTGTTAAAAAAATTGTTAAGTGACAAGTGTCATGTTAATATTTTTTATTTTTTAAAATATTAAAAAAATGTGACACGTGTCACTTAATGATATTTTTAACAGCGTGTACTTAAAAGTGTAATGAATAAAATATTAGACAATTTTTTTAATAAAAAATTATCTAAACACTAAAAATTAATTTTGAATATAATTTGGACGCTTATTTTATATTAAGTCTTATAGTTAACAAACATATAAAATACTAAATTCATGATTCAGTTAAAGTTTAGGGATGAAATTCAAAATTAATTCATTCTTGATAATATATCATATCATTATCACAGTCTATACTTAACATTCTGATAACTATTTTACAATAAATTGATGATATAAATAATTAAAATATAATTTTTAAAAGTTGAGTAACTAAAGTGAAACAAAAGTGTTGAACTATGTTTCGATATAACAATTTAAGGCAAAATGGTTTTTTGGACTTGAATTGAATTTACAAAATGTTTTTGGACTTAATTGAATTTATTCAAAGTTTTTAAAAGGTTTCAAAAATAATTCAAAATCAATTAAAATTCGGATTTGAGCCAAAAATATTTTAAGGGGTTTCAAGATTGCCCAGGGGTATAGATTCTCCCCCGTAGGGGTACAGATACCCGGGTACAGATACCCCCAGGGGTACAGATACCCCCTGCAGGTTTTTTGCCTCCGAGAAAAACAGAATATCAGGGGTACCGATTCCCCCCCTGTTCAACAGCCCAACGGTCATAATATTTTGAATATTATAAAGGGGTATCGATTCCCTATGAAGGGGTACCGATTCCCTCTATTCTGGGCAACCTTTTTTAATATAAAAATCATCCCCAAACGGCTCCAAAACATCCCCAACGGCTATATATGACTTCAACTCATTCCAAGCTATAATACAAGCTGAGGACACTTGAAGAAGTAAGAGAACAACTATCCAAGCAATCAGACACAAGAGAAGAATTTTTCATTCTTATTTCATCTTTCTCTTGTATATATTTTGTTCTTGTGAGCTCAATCTTGTAAACACCTATCTTAGAGAGGTTTTCTTGTTTACTTATTTTATCCTTTTGTAAAGGGAAAGGTCTAGCTTATCCCGTGTAAAAGCTAGGAAAGGTTCTAGTTTAGCCCGAAAAACTAGGAGTTTGTAAGGTTACTCTTTATCCTCAAAAGAGAACAAATTATGAATTTGTTGGAAAATCCTTGGTGAGGAGCTAAGGTATGACGTAGACTTTGTTTGAGAAAGTCGAACCACTATAATCGCTGTGCAATTCTCTATCTTTCAATCTCCTTACTTCCTAAACACAAAACCGTTTCGACCCCTCTTTGCAAATCGTTCTGGTTGTCGTTTCGAGCTTCCGAAATCCTAACAATTGGTATCAGAGCCTAACTCGTTAAGAAGGTTTAACCACCTTGAGACGATCCTCGAAGAAGCTCTATCAATTCCCCGACACAACCGAGAAGATGGCTTCCACCTCCGGCTCGTTCCACATGGAAGACTCCCTACCAACCGACAAACCTCCATACTTTAATGGAGTCAACTATCATCATTGGAAGAAATTAATAAAGTATTCATCCATCCAATGATCTTGATGCATGAGAGATAATCGAAAAAACAGGTCTTTTAGTATTATGTTATTGAAATGAAAAGGCAAAAATGAGTTTAGGGTTAAAATATATTTTATTAAAATTTCAAGAGTCAAATTAAAAAAATAACCATTTTTCATGTGCTATGCTCACTGCGATAACGTCCATGAATGATTTAATCATTAAAACAATAATAATTCAATACTATAAGGAACAAATATAATTTAAAATCGATGACAGAAAATGAACAAAATTAAGGGAAGATAATCAATTGTATCGTTCATCTACAAATAGTCATTGAAATTTTAGGACACTTGCATTTTGGTAACTCAACTTTTGAAGCTTGTAATACAATCATTGATTTTTTTAGTTCATTTTCAATAAGGTCTCCGTCATTACCTCCCGTTAATTTTTATTGAAGAAACACTTAACTGCAATTAACCCCTTATTTTTTCTTCTTCTTCTCCTCCTCATTCTTCATTATATTCTTCTTCTTCTTCTTTTTACTGGATTATGTTATATATTTTCACTGAACTGGAAAACTATGCATTTAACAAACAACATCATCGACGACGATGAAATCTTCGGATATTACCCAAATTCATTATCGGGAAAACTCTAAGATCATCATTAAGGGTTAAAGGATTTATCTCTTCAAGTTCATCTTCCATTAAATATTCAAGGATTAGTAACCTAAGGCAAAAATGGCCCCGATAGAGTTAGTCCTCAAATGGAGCAACGATTGTAAAACGAGACACAATCAAATGAAGATATTGGAGTCACTACAACCCCCGAAAGGTCTCAAACGGTTGTCGATTTCATATTACGGAGCTGCAAAGTACTCATCTTGGGTAGGGAATCCTTCTTTTGCTAAAATAGAGTGGTTATACCTCTTGGAGTGTATAAATTGCAAATCATTGCCATCACTCGGGCATCTACCGTCACTCAGAATCTTAAACGTAAGAGGCATGCATGCAATGACAAAGTTGGGCTCTGAATTTTCAGCAACAATTTTTTATCTTTGTAGATCTTGAGGTTTGAGAACATGTCAGAGTGGAAAGAACGGATTTCATTTGTTGGCGACATCGAATTTTTCCCTCATCTTCGCGAGTTTATACTGCACAACTGTCCTAGATTAGTTGGAACGTTACCAAGAACCTTTAGTTCTCTGGTAAACTAAAAGTTCAAAACTACCAACGGTTAACAAATCTACCTGTAAGCTTCACATTATTAGGCGAATTAAACATGGAGGACAATAGCAACATGATTCTTAGGAGTATAGTTGGTCAAAGTATCACCAACTTGAAACTCAAGGGAATATCATACTTTACCTGCATAATCAATGAGCTATCGAAGGTCTTAATGAAACTCAAAGTTCTACAGATTGAAGGTTGCAGTGAACTAACATGTTTAAGGCAGAATGAAGCCGAATTACAAAACCTGCATCAACTAAAGAGTTTGGCAATAAATCCATAATTTTAAATATATGCATTTTGTGAAATGTTAAGAAAAATAAGAAGAATAGGGTTAATGAGAGTTCAGTGCAACGTTAACAAAAACTAGAGGGAGGTAACGACATAGACCTTATTAAAAACGAACTAAAAGTTCAATGACCGTATTACAAGTTTCAAAAGTTAGGTGACTAAAATACAAGTGCCTTAAAAGTTTGAGGACTATTTTATATATTTTCCCTAAAATTTTATATAGTTAGTTTTACTATTCAACAGATTTTAACTTTAAATATTATCCTTCCTATTTTAAAAGGTTATACAGTAACATCCTAATCTGATCCAACTCGAAGTCCGAAGAATTTAAATGTCACACTGAACCACCGAAGTAACTAACCATTTTTTTCTTCGTTTAAAACATCATATACTTTTGAAAAGACATTAATAATAGTAATAAAATCCATTTTTTATAAATCGAAGCTCCATGACAGAGTTTAAAAAATTAATACAACTCAAAGTTTACAAATCATAATACATAAGTAAGGGTTCTATGAATATACATGTCTACTACAAGTAACCATACAATATCTGTGAGGAATGCTAGAAATCCTGATGTGACAGTGCTCATCGAACAACTCAATATACTATCATGCGAACGAAAAACATCCGAACGCTAAGCTTACAAAGCCCAATTATATAATCGCTAATATAGAGCAGCATAAAAATCTTATAAACTTAAACATGCTAGAAGACATGACAATAAGCAATAGGTATAAGCATGATCCTAGTTAAGTGCTATTTACATAAG